GCCTCAGTCCCTCCCTTGGTCTCTTGTTGGTATCTGTGAAGCCTCCCTGGGTCCTACAAGGTCGCTCTCGATACCTGGGACCCCAACCTTCCTCCCCATGACATTGTCACCTAAGCTAGTGGGACTCTTAGTGTGTTCCTCAGTCGTCTCCACCCGACTCTGGTCACCTCTATAAAAGCCAGGCTTCCTAGAGAGGAGAGCTAGAACCAGGTAGGAAGTGGCGAGTCTATGAGTGTGTTTGCATGGCTGTGGAGGGCCAGCATAGGAAGAGGGCCGCAGAAGGGCCTCTTTGGGTCCTGGAGAGACCAGGGTCACTCAGGGATTGTCAGTGGAGTCGGGAAGGTCCTGCTTGCTGGCAGATGATAGGGGAGTCTGGCGTGGACTTCCCAGTCTGTGTTTCTTCAAGTGGGAGGGAGTGTGCTTCCCCTCCCGGGAGGGAAGGAGATCCTGAGCATTCCTCTCTGGCTGTTGTGTCACATCTGGAAGTTTGTGTAGGAGTTCCTCCAAGCTCCAAGCCCAGCACAGCTTTTTCTCATTTGGAAATCACAGGCTGGCATTTGGGATGCTGAGAGAGGGGGAGAGGGGAGCCTGCCAGGAGCAGGGGAGGGAGGAGGAGGGAGGCCTGAACGGCAGGAGCACTAATGGGTCCCAGAAGTGAGTGTGAGTGGTGATTGTGCGTCACTGTGCGTGTCTGAATGTGCGTGTCTGGAGGGGAGGGTGCACCAGGAATTTCGGGAGCCTTCCTTGCCACCGTCCCAGTGCCCTGAGCCTGCCTGTTTCCCTTACCTAGGGAGAAATCACCATTTTGGTCCTCAGAGGAAATGGCCGGTGTGTGTATGTGTGTGTCTTGCTTCCTGTCTTCTTCCCAATTCTGTCTCCCAATTTTTCAAACCCCAGGCTCTCCAGAGGAGGTTCTGGGGAGACATGCACTGCGGGGGGGGGGGGGGGGGGGGGCAGCTGCCCCCGCCCCCTGGCACCCTTTCTCACCTAGGCCATGCATGCTTTTTTCTGACACACACACACACACACACACACACACACACACACCTTCCCACCCATCCTTCGCTACTGCACTGTTGGGGGACTCCCATCACACTTCATGCCAGCTGGAGACCTTCCTGGGATTAGTCCCCACCACAGAGGCCCACCCCCACCCCCCACTCCTCTACTGCTCCCGCCCCAGCTCTCACCCTGCCCTGCCTGCCTCAGCCAGGATGGCAACAGACACAACGGGGCACACACACACACACACACACACACGAGCACGCAGATGTACACACACAGTCACAGACGTTTGAATCCCGTTACTGGCCTATTTCCCTCCTAAGGATTCCAGCGGCGGTCTCTCAAGTGTCTCTGTGTCTCGTGTCTCTGTCTCTGGGTGGGGCTTTTCCATGGACTTCAGTCTTCGCTTCAGCTGGAACCCACTCTCCCCACACACCCACACACTGGCCTGGAGGTGCGGGCGGGAGCCATAGGGAGCCAGGTTTACTGATGTCGTGGGAGCTCGCCTCAGCACTCCCCCTTTCGACCTCACGCTGGGGAGCCCCTTCATCCCACCCCATCCTTGGGATCACCCCATCTGAAGGAGGGAGGCCAGCCTGTCCCTGGGTGAGTGGAGTGAAGGACCCGCCCCGACTCATCTTCCCAGCCCTGACTAGGAAGCCAGGATTCCTGGGCCAGCCGCATTCCCTACTCTGCACGCCTGGCTCTCCGGTTTCCAAGCTCCTAGTGAGGAGTGGGGTGGCTGGAGGGTCTTCTCTCCTCAGTCCACACCCGGACCGGACCCCCTGTGTCCTGGTGTGACCCCATGCCTCCCTCCCTGTTTCCCCTCCTGGGTAGGCAGGGGCGCAGATAAAGCCCGTCGAGAGGCCTTGACTGGAGCAGCATGCTCTACTTCTCTCTCCCAAGGGCAGGTGCAGTGGAAGTGGGGTTCCTCTCCCTGCCGCTTCCTTTTTCTCTGCTTTTGATGGTGAGTTGTGAGAAGAAAGATCCTCCCCTCTGCTGTCACCCCTCCCCCTTTGGGATCCACTCCAGCCTGGACAGTCACCATAGCAACAGTAGACATGTGACTGCACAGGTCTCTCCTAGTCACCATGGCAACCAGTGTCCCCCGTTCCCTGGGTTGTCAGGGAGATTTGTCACATGGTTCTCCCCCCCCCAAACCTGATAACTTGTGGGTCTCCCCACTTTCCCTTCCCTGCATGAGGGTAGACAGCTGCTGGGGTAAGGGGAGTTCCTGTGTGAGAGGGTCCCTTTAATTGCCATGGCAACAATCCACACCACCTGGTGACACATCCGCCTGTTGTTATGGTAACGAGGAACATCACACAGTGACATAGGGCCATGCTCCCAGGGAAACAACCCCACCCTGAGAAGGGTGAAAGACACCCCCCTCCCTGCTGATGAGAGTTCATTGTTCCTCAGTTCCGGTTGTCTGAAGCGGTCCTAGCATTGGCTTTTATCATTTCCAATCCTGTTCACCTAGTGCGGGGAGAGAGGTAGAGAGCGGGCAAGAGGGACCAGGGAGCACGGCCACTTGCCAGGAGTGGGGCTTGAGGCCTTCTGCGGTGGAGCGCTGGGGTGAGATGGCTGAAAGCTGGCCGGCTCCGGCCATGAGGACCTAAGCACCTGCAAGGTGACCAGACCCCTTGACGGTATCACGTCTGATGCCCCCTCACCCCTCCAGGTCATCGTGATCATGGCAAAGGAGGCAGGGGACCGGGAACAGGCCGACCCCTCTGACTTGCTGGCGGGGACAGGCAGCCAGCCGTCCGCACACCGGCCCCTGTCCATGCGCCCATCACTGTAAGCCCCACAGAAAAGATGACGTATAACACAGTGCTCCTGTCCTGAGGAGCGGCAGCTCCGCAGGGAGCTGAGACAAGCCCACTGACCACTGTGGCATGATGGGGTCATTGCCGTTAGAAAAACAGGTGCCTTGGGGGGGTGCTGTAGGAGCCCCTCTTCTCTCATGTAGGCTCGTCTCTTTCCGTGGGGGCCTCCCGGGTCACCCGGAGGAGAGGAGGGGTCTAGCTGGGGAACCTAACGGGCTCTGAGGGTGCTAGTGCCCTTTCCTCTCCAGCTGATGGCCCCAAGGGGGCTCCTGTCCTGGCCCTCTTTCCAGGGCGACCCCTGGCTGACCTCGTTCTGGGGCCAGCTCTGCTGGGCTCTGACTCCACGCAGGAAAACTGCTCCATGGAAGCAGAGCCCTAGGCGTATTCCTCCCTCCCATCCACAGACCCCCCTCGAAACCTAGGCAGAGGTTAGAGACATGGGGGTGCCTGGGAGAGGTTGGGGGGTCTCTGGGGGAAGAGGACAGGTAAGGAAGAAGGATGGAGGACAGTGAGGGGCTTGAGAACAGTGTGGCCTCTGGTGTGAGGTACAGTCAGGGTTCAGGGCAGAGTGGAGGTAGGCCTGGAACCATCTGGATTGAAAGCCCTTAGGTCCCGGGATTCCAGCAGCTCTCTCCTGCCTGGCCAAAGTCTTCTCGTTCCAAAAGTGGGGTTGAGACAGGAAATGGGCCATCTGCCCCGGCCCTTTTTCTCTCCCATTGAGTCCAGTTTGGGGAGGCTCACTGGGGGCTGCCTTGGGGTACCCCCCGCCCCCTCCTTCTCCTCCCCTCTCTCGGCCTTCCCCTTTCCCCAACCTCCTCGCTGCTTGTCTGCCTCTCTGTTCTCCCCACCCAGCACATAGCCCAGGTATTCCCCTTGGGAAAAATGGGGTGCCCGGTCACTTGTCCGTGAGCCTGCCTGGAGCCTTCTGAGGCCTGGCAGTCATTTTGGATGTACATGCTGCTGCCCGTGGGCCAGAAGGGAGCTCCTCCATGGACCCCACTCTGTGGGTGAAAGGCCGGGGTCAGGGAGAGCCCTCCTTCTACAGCACGGAGTCAGTGAGCCCAGAGGGGCTCCTCTGTTTTCTGGGAGCCTCAAGGTGCGGCAGTGGCATGGCTGGTGTGTGTGTGTGTGTGTGTGTGTGTGTGTGGCTCCTCTGTTTTCTGGGAGCCTCAAGGTGCGGCAGTGGCATGGCTGGTGTGTGTGTGTGTGTGTGTGTGTGTGTGTGTGTGTGTGTTTGGGGGTGGTGGTGCTGCCCACTGTGTGGGCCAGGGGCTTGTGTTGCCATTGTGCCTGATGGACGATGGGGTCTTGTTCTTAAAGTGCAAGAGTGTGTCTAGGGGCCACCTGAGGCCATTACCCTGGGCATGGTGGTGGTGGTTGGGGGAGGGGGTGGAGGCAGGTGATGGAACAGGCTCTAGTACTGTTGCTGAGGGCACTGTAGACCCTCTTGCTGTGTGGTGTCTGCCCCTGTCCCTCCGCCCAGGGCCAGTAGCGCCGTCATGGCAGCCTGCCCTGCACACCTCAGCAGCCATGGGGGGTGGAAGGAACCCCCTCAGGTGAGCTGGCAGGCAGACCTCACTCCCCTCCAGCTTCTCAGGTGACCTTCAGCGCATGACCTGAGCCCTCTGGGTCTCCACTCCTTTGCTTGGGTTCTGAGCACTGGCTTGGCTCCTTCTCGGGCCTGCCGTGAGCCTTCAGGGTGGCGTTGCGTGAAGGTGCTCGGTAAATTGTCAGGCAGGCAGAACACGGCTGGAGGTTTGCGTAACACATCCACATGCTTTCTCTCATTTGCTTCTCACGTCTTCCCCGCGAGGCAGGAGAACAGGATTCAGATTCCACAGCCTCTCTTCTCAGTGTCTGGCATCGCCATAAGCATGATCGGTGCCTGCCCCCCTGCCTGGGCTGTGGCAGCAGCTGGGTGCCGGCGGCTCTCCTATCTCCCGGGAGGCGGAAGCTGGCACCAGAGAGGTGGGATGACCAAGCCGGGCTGGGCCTAGGGGCTAGTCCGATGTGTGGGGCAGGGTCCCTCGTCAACCTGGTTACCTGCCAGTCAGCTCAGGTAGGGTGAGAAGGGTATCGGTTGAGAGGCGGTAGGGTGGGGGTGGAGAACTGAACTCGGCCCCAGCCCTGGCTAGCCATTTCCTTGACCGGTCGGTACCTGGTTCGAGCGCATCAGCATGCTGGTCATCCTGCTCAACTGTGTGACCCTGGGCATGTTCCGGCCGTGTGAGGACATCGCCTGTGACTCGCAGCGCTGCCAGATCCTGCAGGTGTGGGAGCGGGAGGAGTCAGGCCACTGGCTGCTTCTCTACAGGAGAGCCCCGGTTCTCCACTTGCGGGGAGGGTGGGGGGCTGCGGGCTGCGGGGGGAGGGTATTTCCTACCCCTCCTTAGTTTCAGCAGCCCCTTATCCCCTCACCAGGCCTTTGATGACTTCATCTTCGCCTTCTTCGCTGTGGAGATGGTGGTGAAGATGGTGGCCTTGGGCATCTTTGGGAAAAAGTGTTACCTGGGGGACACTTGGAACCGGCTTGACTTTTTCATTGTCATCGCAGGGTGAGCGCCTGGCCTGGGGCGGGAGAGCCGTGGGTCAGACCAGTCTCTTCCGCAGAATCAGGGTTCTAGATGCTCCCTGTCCCTCCACCCCTGCCCAACCACAACTCCTGATTTGTCCCTGGCTGCCAGGGGGATCCTGGGAGGGGCAACTGGTTAATATACTCAGCTACTACCTGGAAGGTTGGAGGTTCAAACCTCCCCAGAGGCCACAAAAGAAAGACTTGGTGATCTACTTCCACGAATCAGCCACTGAACACTCTAGAGCCCAGGTGCCCCTGATGCACCAGTGGCCACCTGAGTCAGAGGAGTCACTTGCTAGAGGGACTTGCTAAGGGCTGGGGACTGTCCTGGCAGGAGTGTGCTGGCCTGTAATCTGAATCTCAATGTCCCTTCGTGAACCCCCTCCTCCCTGTTGCTCCCACAGTCTCTCCTTAGCTGGGGGATGTCCCTAGACAGAGGGCCCAGCCTCCTGGGTCCCTGGTGGAGGGGGTGGAGCCGAGGCTGTGTGTAGGCCCCCGGGCAGGCTTCCTCCTTGACCTCTGTGGTGTCTGTCGGGCCCTCCCCGCAGGATGCTGGAGTACTCACTGGACCTGCAGAACGTCAGCTTCTCCGCTGTCAGGACCGTCCGTGTGCTGCGGCCACTCAGGGCCATTAACCGGGTGCCTAGTGAGTGTCCCCTCAGCCCCCAGACTCTGGATCTGCAGGGGGCGGGGGGCCTGTGCGAGGCTGGCACCTGAGGTGGTCCTTCCCAGGGCTCAGAAGCCGGGTGGGGCTGTCTGCTCAAGCCCAGGGTCAGGACCTCCGAAGCAGCTCCGATGGCCCTTTTTCTCTCCCTAGTTGGCCGTTTGACCCGGTGGATTAGGGGTGGGGTGGTCACAGGGTGGGAGAGGCAAGCTGGCCAGCAAGTGTGTGTGTGGGGGGGGGCAGGGGGGGAAACAGGCTGGTGGCCCCGCATTCACTGGGTCTCACTGGTGAAACCTCGCTGGTCACACTGGGCAAGCCTGCTCTCAAGATGAGGCCACTCCATCCCTCCTCCTCCCTGTCGTGCAGTCCTCCCCGCCCCCTCCAGCCCAGCCCAGCGACTGCGGGGACAATTATCTAAATGAAACCGCATTGGTTTCCCCAGCCAGCTAGGCTTTGGCAGCTCTGGCTCCCCGTCTATGCCGCCCCTCCCACCCTTGCTCAGGGCCCCCCTGCAACTCCCCAACCTAGAAAAGCTGCAGTGTGCCCCTACCCCCACTGTGGTCCCTAGGGTGTAGGTGTGTTTCTGGGGGCCCGTGCTTGGGTGTAACAGCAGTCCTCTTTGCTGGTGTGTGTGTGTGTGTGTGTGTGTGTGTGTGTGATTTGGACGCAGGCCTTCTGGGTGGGCAGAGCTGGGGCATGAGGTACTGAGTATGTTAGTGTTTGTGTTGACAGGAGCTTCAGGAGGTAGGAGCAAGGGGCTGGGGGCATACCTGCCCCTTCTCTCCCACCCCAGGTGGTGGCGGGCAGGTTCCTAGGCCTCTGTCTAACCCCTGGTGTAATTCCCTTAATGCAAACTCTGTGGAATTGATCTCGGAGCACAGAGGAGCTGAGGGAAGTCGGGAGTCTGGGGCGGTGGGGGCAAGAGAGACGAGGTAAAGGCTGGTCCAGCGGTGGGGAGGACTGCACAGTTACTGGGGGAGCAGGGGATTATGGGTGGCACTGTAAGGGCCTAAACCTATCAGTAGAGGCGTCTGCTTGACAAGGGCTTGGTGGTCTGGCAATGGCTTAAGAGCAAGGGGGGTGGGGGCGGGTTCCTACCTGGGCTTTGGGGAGGGGAGGTTTTTCAGTGGCTTTCCTCCGCGCGCGCGCGCGCG